GACACATGATTTGCCTTTAAGGGGCAAAGAACTTCACGAGGGAGTTTTCCAAGACCTGATTAAACTTAAAATTGAAGCTGGTGACCAAAACTTGAAAACACACATGGAGAATGGCCCAAAAAATGCCACCTACCTGTCACCACAAATTCAGAATGAAATTATTGACCTTTGTGGTGAGGTCATAAGAGAGGATATCATTATGGATATCAGGAAGGCATGCGCATACAGTATACTAGCCGATGAAAGCAGCGATATTTCTGGAAAAGAACAACTTTCTATTGGTGTGAGGTTTTTTGATGAAGAACTTATGATGATTCGAGAAGAATTTCTGGGGTTCGTGGAACTAAGTGCCATGGATGCTATTTCTATAGCCTCCGCCATTGGTAATTTCCTAGCCAACGCAGGCCTTGACCCTGAAAAGTGCGTCGGACAAGGGTACGATGGATGTTCCACCATGGCTGGAAAGGACGGCGGGGTACAAAAAATTCTCCGGGAAAAGTACCTACATGCGGGGGTTGTATTTTCATTGTGCTAGTCACAAACTTAATTTAGTGGTGAACGATTTAAACCAGTTAGCAATGATTCGAAATACAGTGGCCACAATAAAAGAAATAATAAGATTTTTCCGAGAATCCCCACTTCGGCGAAAATTCGTTCCAAACGTGCCGATGTTCTGTGAGACCCGCTGGTCTCAAAAATACAGAAGCATCGCCATTTTTAGAGAGCATTATGTAGAAATCGTGGCTGCTTTAAAAACGCTCTCAACAGATGGTAATGCAGCTACGAGAAAAGCTGCTTTTCAAATGCATTGTGCTGCTTCAAATTCCGAGTTTATTGTAAGTGTCTGCTTAATAGCAAAATATTCTGCATTATTGCAACCAGTTGTGAATGTTTTGCAGTCAAAAAGTTTAGACTTATTACAATGTATGAATCATGTAAAAAGAATTACAGACCTTTTAAAAACACACCGGGAAAATGTTAGTGCCGAAAGCGTATACATACTAAAAGAAGCCGAAAAAATAGCCGAAGACATTAATACGGACTTTAAAATGCCGAGAGTTACAAACCGACAAACGCTTCGTGCAAATCCTCCAGCAGCTTCTGGTACTGAGTACTGGACGAGATCTTTTATAATTCCGTATCTGGATTCATTGATAATGTCTTTAGGACAGCGATTCTCTAATGAAAATCTGCCAGCCTACGAGTTGCTTTCATTACACCCTAGTATATTTCTTTCTTTATCATTTGCTGAGTTTTTAAAAAAAGTTAAAGTCTTTTGTGACTACTACAACTTAAACGAGATTTTGGCTGAAATGGAACTATGGTATAATCTGTGGAAAGAAAAAAAGAAGTCAGACTCGGAGTTAAAAGAGATTGAACTAGTTGAACTAGTTAAAGAGGCGCAATCTTTTTACCCAGGCATTAAAAAAGCCCTCCAAATTTCACTCGCGCAGCCTTGCACTACCTGCACAATAGAAAGATCATTCAGCACCTTACGTCGGGTAAAAACTTGGTTACGATCAACAATGTTGGAAAATCGGCTTGTTGGACTTTGCATGATGAGCGTCCATCGAAAAAGAGTTTTAAACGCGAAGGATGAGTTTGAAAAAGAAATTTTGTCCAGGTTTAGCAAGAATTGTAGAAAACTAATGCTAAAATAAAATACTTATATATAAACCCAACATGTTTTTTTAATAAATTTTTTATGTTAAGTTGAGTTTCCTTGTTTTCTTGCCCCACCCTGGAGAACTCCCTGGCTACGCCCATGGCTGAAACGTTGTGTCGGTAAAAAGTAATTCAAACGTATGTGGTGTCATTTAGGGGCCAGGCAGTCATGAAAGGTTTTCAGCATGAAAACTACAGGATAAGTTTCAGGTGTTACATTAGCATAAGAAGTCTTCTTTCAAGCTATCTTCAGAAAAAAGTGTAAAGATATTGGTGCCTATTCAACTACTGGTGTCTCTTGGAACATAAGTACTAAAGTGTCCCATTATCAAGAGTTGGAAATTTCTTTGGTAGGCACTGATTGGTGATAGATATGATAGCACTGATATTCTGCAATCAACCTTTGAAGAGATAGCATTACTTTCCTGCCGTTCTACATACAAACTTCAATGGCTTCTTTAGCTTTCACGTTTTTCTAGGTAGAATGGGTTCAAACATACTCATGCTATATAAGCTTTACATCGATCATTCAATTCTATTTTTTTCAAGAGGGACGGTCATTAAATACTTTAGGGATCAGTTTCTGTACCACTGACGCAGCTGGAACTACGATTTTTCATGCTATTTTCCTCGATCTTTGAATTACCCCTGGTAAGGTATTTTAAGATCCACCTAAAAGAACTCCTTCCGAATTGTTCTTGTTGAGCCGCACTTTTTTTAATCCTCCTGTACCCAAAAGCCTAATCATACATCATTGGTAATTGATTTTAAAGTAGTAATTATCGGTGAGTGAAAAGAGGCCGCTCATCTGTCAGGAAATGCTTCGGATGATGTTAAGATAAGTTGTAAAGTAATTTTGTGAAGGTATGGAATCGAGATCGAAAATGTACGCAGGAATTTCTAATATCCTGCACCTTATGGACCGTTAAAATTAGTCATAAAAAATCGTGCAAGATGAAATAATGCCGAAGTCCAAGAATTTGTTCTCATTTTTCTACGTATACATTTGATAATTTCGATAAGTCGAGATATTGTTGAATATCTTTCAAAGTAATGAAGCTTCCGATACTTTGGCGTTATTATGTGAAGTGAAGTAATATTTATCTATTTTTGTGTTCAAAAGATTTTATAAGATACTGGAAAAATATCGCGCTACCTCGAAGTTTTACGACGAATATGACGTAAATGTAAATTAAGCAGGCAATACAAACAATTCTAACCACTTGAATTCAGTTCCAAGTACGTCTAGACTCTGGCCCAAAATTCTGAAGGAGAACCTATGTTTATTATTGGTATCTAGATATATGTAAAAGGCTTTAATTTTGCACCCTTTTATCGCTCCTTTTTCAAAGATTAAGGCTCTCATTGTTGGGGATGTAAAGTTAAGCTTTGATCCAACAAAGGTTTAGACGTACTTGTCCAACCAATTTTTTTAACCAAATTCAAAAAATAATTGTGCAATTATTTCTATTTTTTGGGTCATTGTAAACTAAACTGATTTTAATAAACTTCTCTCTAAAGTTGATGGTTTTCTAGATACGTTGTCAAAGTTCCTAAACTTTCCTCGACAAAATAAGCCTGAGAGAGATGCAGCTGGGGCTGTCCTTATGATGTATTGTGTCCCGGGCCGAAAGTAGCACATTTAACACTTTTTAAGTCATTAAATTGCTTATATCAAGAAAACTTTCAAGTAAGGGTATGTTCATAAGAACCTTTTTTTGTTCAGAATGTCTCAGAAACCTGAATAAGCTTTGGAGAATAACTTTTTTGGGACTCAATCAAAAACTATTTAAACACTTCAAATAGGTCCTTTCTGAATAAGATTATGCAAAAAACGATACAGGATATTTTTCCTAGAGGCTGAGAAGATACCTCCCGTACTGCCGAGGTATGGTTTATATTCCTTTGTTCATGAGGTCCTAGACTAAAAGCCTTTGAAGAGTATATAAAAATGCTAATATCGCAATGTTTATAACATTGCGTTTAACTGTAAATGTCCCTACCTTTATTGAGTTGTGCTGATTAAACCACATTTCGCATGTTACACATTTGATACATCGCAGAACACCAGCAATTACGTATATATTCTAGTCTTGTAAAGCTTACTTCCGAGACGTTTTTCTGCTAGCTCGCCGAGTAAGTATTTATATAACTGTTCAAATTAATTTCTCAACCAGTCGTGAAAAACTTAGAATTATCATTCTTGTCTCTAATTGCGGTTAAACTGCGTAAACGAGTACAGATTTTTCTTTCTTCGGATCACGTAACTTTTCATTTTTCTTCATACGGATACAGTTAACATATAGAATGTTGATTTAATCCATATGTCATTCAGATGTTATGATATTTATTTACGATGGGAATTGCAACTGAACACACCTTTAGCGATTTCCATGGAATTTGGAACAATCCTGTGAAGCATAGTTCCATGACTTTCAATCTAGAGGACTGCATAGGAAAGAATAGTATGCGATTGATTTGTGCATTTCAAAGAGCTACGAACGAATAGGTCAATCTAGCTTTTTACAATGACCGAGTCATGATTTGGATGTAACTAAAACTAAAATTTCTAATAATAAGGAATAAAAGATTATTAATATGATCCTTTTGCTTGAGTTAGATACTACTAACTCTATTCCCTGCTAAAATAACAGAAGTCAAGAACAGTTTTTCGGGCTTCTGCCTTTAGTATCATTAATAATAATAAATATATTATTCACCATTTCAAAACATAAATACTATATTAATTAGTTTCTGTTATATCATGTGCAATTGAAATTGTGTGAATCATTACTACATAACTTTACGAATTCCGAGTGGAAAAATCTCTCAAAGTTCGTTGACATCGCTAGGGTGGAAGAATCTAAGTTTCAAAGACTGAATACACGATCAATTATCTTTCATACCTTGTCGCGAAATTACACATTGATATGAATACAATCGATCTTTAAAATTGTATTGTCGAAAATGATGGATGAGATTAAGCCATCAATCCCGAAAGGTAACAGTTTTTCTGTGTGAAAAGTTTTTTATCCTTGGAATTGTTCGTCGAAGATAACAATGAAGCAAGTTCGCATGCTCATATGGAATTTTGCCTGATTGATTACATTGAAAGTGATGTTATGCTCGTTGAACATAAAAAAATTACTTTGGCGGAAAGTCATTTCGCAAATAATGGTTCATGGGAAGAAGATGTACGATATGCATGTGTACATCGATTATGAGTCAAAGATTCCAGAAGCATTTCAAGGAAAAATATTCAAAAGGAAAGGATCACAATAAATATACTGAATGGCAAAAAAACTGATTTATTTTCTCTTATAAAAGTAAGAGACGGATATTGATACTTTCGATCATCTTTAATTGTACAAATGACGAATACTAGCTTCATAATTATTCCAGAGACTTTTTAAAAAGTAATTCGGACTCTCTTTTTTTAAACACCGCTTGAATCCTTACCTGATGAAGTGATTGAGACTGCAAATGTGAATATCTGGATGTGGATTTGTGTATCCAGCGTTGTCATTTACCTGAAAAAAAGAAAAGGGTCTTCAATACAGGTCGCATCTGAGTCAAAAAATGTGTTACTGTAGAACAACATAAGGATGCGAAGGGGTAATGATATAAATACTTTATGTTTAAAAAATGATAATTATCAGTATATTTATCGTACTATTATGGTGGTCTCATTCAGAAAAAAGCACGATGAATGAGGATTGGATGAGGTCTTATTGGTAAAGGATTTCACTCAGGTTTCAGTTACAATCGCGCCAAAAGCCTACATTTTAAAAGGTAACCCGACAACAATATTTGCATAGTGCCAATCTTTAATTTGAATTTCATCTCAACCGGGTAACATACTTATTTCAACTAGTTCAGTTTCTTCCGAAGAAACATCTACACGTTTGAACTTCGACCGCTCATCCAAGCCTTACAGCATGCTTTCTGCTTTGGATTTTTTGACACCAATGTTAGATGCCTTGTTCAAAACATGGCGTCAAGTGGGTTGACTCTGCGCTTCCAACGCAATGTCATGTGAAACGTCAAATAACGAAGTTTGAGCGTTCTGCATTTGTTTCGTTTTTGGGATTTTCCTTCGTCACCACTGAGCCTATTCTAAAAAAACTACAAAGCCTTTTCGTTCTTGTCATACTAGTAACCTTGTGTGAAATTTTATCCAAATCCGGGAGGAACTTTCCTAGTTATAGTCGGGGCAAGGATTAGCGGGCAGACAGACCGACGGAAATGAGTGACATATTTGTTCGTGATGTACATGTCATATAACATCAAAAAACATGAAATATCATTTTTGAAATTTTTTGCGATTACAATGTACAAAGTAAAAATAGTGTAGCCACTATACTAGATCCAGTGACAAAAGTAATTGAATAGTAGTAGTAGTAATAGAAACGACTCATTCATCGAAATGAAGCAGGGCTACAATTTTTCAGCTCAAGTATTAAGTTTTTAAAAAATATGTTTAAGCCACTACTATACAAGGTAAGTAATATCAGCAATATTCAATTGAGGCTAGTCTGTCCCTGATTATATGAATGAGTTGTTTTCCATAGATACCAGCAAGTGAAACACCAAGCTTTCAAAATTTCGTTAAACTATACAGTGTCGATCAAAAGTTATTTGGTGATAACCTATGTCCCGGAGCTGTATCTTCAATTGGTAGTCCCGTTGGACATTTTTTCATACATACGAGAGATTGACAAGCTGTTGTGGGTATAACGCAACTGGTTCAGTGCTACTCACAAACGATATCTGATTACTGTGATTTGATATACCGAAAGGTAGAAAAATAAGTTTGTAGTTCGCGACAACCTAGCAAACCAGAGTTAGAGTGTGTAATACAGCTGGTGACATACTGCATGCGGCTTGGGGCTGGAAATATACTAACATCAAATAATTGCGATACACCCATCTGCCCCCATCCATCCCCTTACAACCCCCCACCCCCAATTTCCAACTCCTACAAAATTTTTCAGGTATGATCAAGATCCTCTGAAGCATCAAAAAACAAAGATTTGGCGTTTTTTATTCTTTTCGTTTTTCCAAATTCGAGCGGTACTTACCAAGATATAAACGGGCCAAGGATTAGCGGACAAATAGACCTACAAACCAACGGGAACGAGTGACATGGCTTTTCTTGAGGTATACGTCATATAACATCAAAAAAACATAAAGTCACATTTTCGATTTTTTTGTGTGATTACAATAATTCCTCGCCCATAGGAGTAGGAAGTAAATAGGCAGAAGCATATCGCTCGCTCTGCAGCTCTATGAGTATATACTCAGTAGAATCTTTAAGAGACCCCTTAATAGGATAAATGATTGCTGAAATTGTCTTGTGAATATACTGGTGGGTCCCTTTGTGCACATGACACACCTTCCCGCTGAGAACCCCATTGATCGTCCATCTTCCAAGTAATAATTATGCAATGACATCACGCATAACAGAACCTCAACATTGATTCTTAATACCAGCACCCAAACGAAATGGAACCAGCGGGTATGGTACCGTTATCCAGTCTGCCACCTTCGAATAATCCACCTTATTCAAATAGTCGCCTGCCTGACCCACTTGGCTCTGCTTGGAGACCTTTGTGTCTGTATGCGAAACGATTACTTGCTTCTGCCCAGTCAGTATTCAGTCTTTACGTCCGATGTCAACGAAGGAATATCAATTAGCCGAGAAGTAGGTAACTGTAGTACAGCCGGAGCGCATATTTCGACTGCCATCCATGTGTGTGAAACGATGCCTGGGAAATATTCCTGTTGTCAGAGGCGTGCTTAGATTTTTATTTTCTCAGAACGATTAATTTGAAAATATCGGATATCATGACGAAATTAATAGGATACGTACAAATGATCTCTTCGAGTTGTTCGCCAGTCAAACGAGGTATTACAGGTAAATAAATAATACTCTATCCAGTAAGAAAACCTTAGCTGTAGCCATGATTATCTACCAAAACGTATTTAGATTGTAACAAAATAAATTCCTGAGCTTCCGTTTTGTCTGCATCACGAAAATCCATAACTCCCTTTCCGCCTGTCTGTCTATTGGCATTTTTCCAGCCACGTGAGCTAAAAAATGACTGCACCTATCATGAAATTTTGATGCGCACATGCCAAAAGGTTATAGCTAATACGTAAATGAATGTGCGACGTACTGAGTCAATCAGCTTGACACCATTTTTTCATATTTCTCCGAGATCCAAAGAAAAATATTTGCAACTTACACTGCTTTGCTTGTCATGTTGCCTTGAAATGGTATTCAGCGATCGTTTGGCTTACTTTTCTGGAACGGCAAAGCTGTGAAATCGAACAGTCATCTACTTTGAATAGTCAATTCAGAGCAAAAAATCTACTTCTTTGGCCGATTGTGGTAAAAAGATATTTTTTATGTTCTCAAAGTCTAACATATACGTTTTCTCATCAGCCCTACCCATTGGATGCATAAAGCTCAATTCTATGCAGACATATTTAATGTACTAAGCGGGTAACAGAGCGTGAGACAATAAACAGATGTATCTGTGCCCTTTTGAAGCCAATATCGGAATCTGGATAATAAAAAAAATACTGCTCCGTCTATGAATCGTAGTCCATCTCATAAAATATTCCTGGTTCGTAGAGTCTGAAAACTGTTATCGGGCATAGGCGGTTATAGGTAATTTGGTGTGTTTTCTGAATCCTGAGCGTCATTTAACGGTGTTTTTAGCACCTTATTGATCGGCAACGTTAATCGGTTCTCACACCTGAGAAGACCGCCGTAATGGCGGCACGACACCCCGCGATGCTCTGTCACGACGATGCCATTGACAATGTTCAATGTTCAAAGTAATTGTTCATCACTTTTCTATATAACTGTCCGACACATATAAATATCTTAGCGATATTACCTTAATGTTACCTATCACGTTTCCTGGTTGTACTTCCTCATCCGCTCTTTATCCTGAAATCGTACTGTGTCAAGTGTTACTCGAATGAATTCGCAAATATGTTGTGTTAGAACAATAACAGTAGATATTAACCACGACATATTCAATACAATGACAGTTATTGAGCGAGGGTCATATACACAGTATGTTTTATTTTGTCGTAATGTAACTTATTCTATAGTCGTCTCCAGGTTGCCGAAAAGTTATAAATCTTCATTTTCTTTTTTGTGATATTTGGATCTTTGACATTGTCGAATATCACAATATTTTATATGATCGCTATCAAGAGCTGTGGAGGAATATACAATATACCGTAATACATTCGGGATTCACCAAAATAACACAAAGTGAACAAATCAGTGCAGTTAAGCTAGAAAAAAGGGCTGGTAGCGATTCACTCTCTGTTGAAAGGCCCGAAGATTGTCGCTGTCTGGATACTGGATACATAGCAATTTCCTTTTAGTAACATTTCGGCCACAAAAAAGAATGTCTACCATACGTGATTTCATTTGTCGGCCATGGAATCCTACCATCATGAAAACCATAGGACAACTTTAACGGCGCTCTCACAGTCAAGCAGAGTTTCTGAGGGGAATCGGGGGGGTGATAGGGAAAGGCTAGTAGGACGGCGTTGTGACAAGGCAAGCGCTCTACGTTAGAAAAGGATAGTAATACGCAGAGGTGTGCTGTTCGCGTGCCTGGTTGAATTTGCATATTGCACAGAGTCGGATTTGATTTGGATATACGATCTAGCGTACGACTGTTTCCCTATTTTGGCGCATAGTATACTCAGCCCTTATTACTCTTATTACCGTTATTGTATTGTTGTATTATCGTGTTGTTATTGTTGTGCTGTTATTGTTGAGTATCTTTCTTATCAAGGTATCAAAAATGAACAATAAGAGAAATAAACGTGGCGTCTCGAAGAAGCCGCATTTAAATACGCACAGGAAAAAAAAACGTTTTCCAGATAGAAAAGTAGGTACCAAAACAATTATGAATTTTAGCATTCATTTTGCCAATAAATTAGACTATACGTAGTTACTATTATAACTATATTTTATATGTTATTTTAGCTTAAAAATGACAGCAAGGTTTCGCATATGCATTCTCTAACAGAGACAGATGGCATGGATCTTCAAATTCAGGTGTGTATACCCTTTTTTTTTAGATTTGCACCAGAGGCTGATATCATTTCTGGCAATTCTGATTAAAAATGCAGTAAGTTTACTTCATGACGTCGATAATAGTATTGTAGATCAGTTTAACTCAATCATAGCTAAATTCATTGGGGGTAAACGGATTAATTATTGCAAGAAGAGATCCTACCAAGGAAGATGTGCTGCAGCCGTAGTGAGCCACAATACACAGCGACCTGTTTGTGTGATCCAAAAGCGGCTACTCCCTAGTTTCAGTCCAACCTCTTTGATTGCTAAAGTTGAAGAAAGGAGAGCGCACAAAAATCTGAAAAGGAAGCTGAAACCAAGGAAAATTAAAATCGGAGATAGTGATACTAAAGAGAACGCATCCTATGGGGAATTCTGTGAGAAGCCTGACATGAGCAACGACGGTATAGAGGCTGCCAAGGTAGAATTCTTGAAAAAACTTGCAAAAACCGACTCCAAAATTTCCCAGATCGAGCAAGCCACAAAATCTCAGGATTGCAATTTGTGGCGTCTTCATCGAAGAATGAGGTTGACTGCGTCTCGGTTTGGTGAGGTTTGTAGAAGAAGAGATACAACAAGTTGCAGAGCTCTAGTAAACGCCATAATATACCCAACCGAATTCTTTAGCAATGCATGTGACTATGGAAAAAAGCATGAAAGCGTGGCAAAATCAGAAATAGAGAAATCATATTCGCAATCAGAAGTACAATCTTGCGGGTTGTTTATTGATAGGACCCATCCATTTCTGGCAGCATCGCCAGATGGTTTGATAGGCGAAAAAGGTCTGCTAGAAATTAAATGTCCATGGTCTGCTAGAGAAATAGCCCCTGAAGAGGGCATTCTGAACAAAAAAATTACGTTTTGGATAAACGATGAAATAAATAAAAAGCATAAGTGGTATTACCAAATTCAAGGGCAGCTACACGTTGCACAAAGAGAGTAACTGTGTGCTTGGTGTTTGGACCCCGTATGGTTTGAAAATAGACGTCATTCGAAAGGATGACGTTTTCTGGAAAAATGAAATGGAAGAGAAATTGAAATTCTTCTACATGAACTGCTTGCTCCCAGAACTGGTCGATCCCAGAAAAAGCAGAAATATGCCAATCCGCGATCCCGATGTGATCTTGAAGGCACAAGAGAACCGTTTGAACAAGAAAAAGAGTTCTTGAGAATTGGCTATTTTTGCTGTACTCGGGTACCAAAATGGAAGAGATTAGCATATTACATTGTACGCCGTTACTAACCCCTTCGTGTCGGCAAATGCGGTGTGCAGATCTCGCTTTAGCAGCGATGTGCGAGATGTTATGCTAATCTTTTCCATTTTGGTACTAGTACCAGATGTTCACTATTTATTGTATATTATGTATATATTGTTTATTTAAATAAAAGTCAATCGTCAGGCTCAATAGCACGTAGCATCGGCTAGCTTTATCTAGTCTGTTAGATGGCGAATATTGAAATGTCACATTGACACGTTAAGCGCCACAGTAGAATCTGAAAATCCAGTCCACTGGGCCAAACTGTTATTATTGTCAAATTAGCTTGTTTTAAGTTTCGGTTTAATATTTTGACTTGACTTTTTTCTCAAATCCTATGATTTTTCCCCTTTTTTGATTTTTTTTTCTGAGGTACTAATTGTATGTCGCGTGGCCCACAGACCAGTCGGGTCGCGTGGCACATAAGTCGCGTCGCGTTTTTTGCAAGTCAAGACTTGCATCATGTCGCGCGTTGAGCATTGTTTCGTGTCATTTATTATTGCAGCGTTGTTGGTATTGTACGTCATCTTGTCCAAATTGCTTTACTGTTTATAAATTATTGAATACCAAATTTGTGATGTCGCATTACGAAGCGGAGCAAAAAAGGCTTGAACAATTGTGTAATGAAATACTATCGGATGAAGAGAGTGGCAGTACTGAGTTATGTGGGTGGATGTATACTTATCTGATGCGTATTCTCCAAGTGGTAGTGAATCAGATAGTAGTTGTAGTAATTCCATTATTATCTGTATTACTGTTTATTTATACCAGTATTTTGTTTATTCCTGCATAAGACTTTGTCAATCTGTTTAGTTTATAAGAGTTCCTCCATATTTGTGTTCGTTAGAATATCGACATTTACCATAACTTACTGATTTGCTGTGAAATTACTTTGTTCATTTTTGAATGAGAATGTCTGATTATTTTATAAGATTTGCTTTTTGTTTTAGATTTGTAGAATATCCTCTTTTTGTAAAACTCTATAAACAACGTGTTTTTTAATGTTTTCATTTCCAATTCAGTATAATTTGGTCCCTCAGGTCACGGACTCTTGGTTCCAGTAAGAAAATCACATCAGCATGGCACACGTCTTACGTTACGCGGCCAAATATAACTGCCAGCAGTGAGACATATCATGTGTGTCACGAGGCCCAAAGCGCCAAATGAGGTGCGAGACACGCATTATATCTCATGACGCTTATCGTGTTAAGTTTATTTTACGATACTCCATAAGGTTAAAGCTAAACAGCAAGTGACATTTTATTTGTGGTAAATGCGTTCACTATAATTATTATTTTTAACTAAAAAGATTACCGCCTCCAATGACCCTGGAACCACCTGGATACTTTTGGTCACAAAGTTCTGTATTTGATATGTAAATTGGGGGTTTTGTACAAAAGTATGTAACTCGCAATTTCGAAACGGCGGCAATCTTGGAATCAAATTTTTAGTGAAGTACTGTATTCTACAAGGCGACGACTCTTATTTGAGATATTAGCAAGTATGTTATCCGCCATTTTGTAACGGCCGCCATCTTGATTTGAAACTGTTTTCGTATTACTGTTTTGTACAAGTGCTTCCATTTGATATCCATATTGGAGTGATTGAACAAAAATGATTTTTTGTGGTATCACCTCTGAAGCATGGCCTATTGTATAAAAAGAAATGATCAAAATCGATTAAAAATTTCCCCTCTTTCATTGAAGTCTATTAAAAATATCACTTAATGGTCCGATGTTTATCTCGAACGACCGACGTTAAAACTGCTACTGTTTAACTTGGGACAACAAATTATCTGAATACGTCCTTTCTTAGTCCTTACACACCGCCGCGTTGCTTCGACTGGCAGCACGAGATAGTGTATAAAATTCGTGTAAAAGCCTATTTGCAGAGGTTTTCGCGCTTCAAAATTGACGCTTCATTTTTGAATATTTTTCAATGAAATTTTCACAGTGCACTAAAAACAAGACTCCACAGGGTGCTATAGAGCCACTTTTTCGTTTTTTCCTCTGGGTTATTTTTAAAAAAATCGAGAAGTCGAACAACAATTATCTGCACTTCCACCCACCATAACTCCTGAAAAAAATTTTTTTTTAGAAAAGTGGCTCTATAGCACCCTGGACAATTGTCTTCTGAACATACTGTATAAATTTTATTCAAATATATAGAAAAATGGAGCGTCAATTCCGAAGCAGCTAAACCCTTGTAAATGGCCTGAAACTCACTGCGTCGGAGCCGCCTTAAGGGGTTACATTAATCTCTGCAGGCAGTTCTACCTACTCGAATGCTACCCATACTTGATGTGGCTCTAGCCTCCCTTACATCAAAGAGTGATCTTTCATCTGGTTCACTTCAAGTAATTGTCAACGGACTTTCCTCATCTGAGCTCTTCTCCATTGTATCAGTATGTTCTACTAACATGGCACTGTTTGTCGCCAAAATTACGTAGTTTTAATGGATACTTTTGGATTAATTTGGCCTACAGTGCCTACCAAATTGTCAAAGCAATACAGCAACGTACGTTCTTTTCTTTGGGAAGAATATTCAAGTAGCTAATCGTATACTGGGTGTACTGACGTACAGCAGGGCAGAAATACTACGAGTATATGTTGCGATATAAATCGTTCAGTTATTGTTAATAGACATAGTCTAAATAAGTAAATATTCATTAACGGTACAATATATAAAACAATTCTGGCTTG